TAAGGTTTTGAAATACATGTGGCCCATCGATAGGTCGCATAATCAGACCTTTTTAAATTAGCAATGATTTTACACAAATATTTGTTTGATCTCCATAATTTAAACTTTAAAACCCAATTTTGTGCCCTTTGGTTGATATTCTAACAACATCCATGATATTTTGCCTCCCGGTTTGTTCACCAGCAAGTTTATGTGCTACTGCAAATGAACGAATCATGCAGTTGCGATGATTTGATAGCATAAAGAGACAATTTATCTGATTTAGATAATTGTAAACATTAAAGGTGCACATAAATGTGAAAATTAAAAGGGTGCTATGGAATAACCAATCAGAACACTTATGTACTACTAATAATAGAAATTTTCAAACCCTAGAAATTACTGGTTAGAGCAAATAAGGTGGTAGGCGAGTATTTAAAAACGGAATCAGATTTAGATGTAGATATGAATACATTTCCATGATAACATTTGAGCTATGGCTTTACTAAAACATGATCAAAATCTGAGCCCAAACCATAAGCTTAAAAAAAAAAAAAAAATCCATACCTAATTGACTATTAAAATTAAACACTGTAGTCCTGAATATTTCATTGGCAACTTTTTTGTTAACTTGCCTTCAAAAGCCATGTGGAAATTTTTATAAAAATGTTGCACCACAAAAGTACTTTAAGACTAAAGTTTAGCCTGAAATGTATGCTTATGTTTTTTGAAGTCACAGTGTTATTCCAACCCGATAGTTACTTGAATAACATCAACAAAGCCACATAATTATTGTCTATTTCCAGAGAAAAATGCAACATGAATGTGGTTGGCTATTTGTCTTACAACACTAATTTGCTTTTCAGCTGGTGTTTATCAGATCAACTACATCTGAAATGTGCTACTAGAGTAGCTCCTGTTATGTAATTTAGCTTAAGCTGTTTATTGTACAAATTGTAGCCTGTGATGTGCAAAAGGCTTTAGCAGCAACACATTAGTACAATACAGTCTTCAAGTTGATCAGAGGATGTTCACTATTGTCCTTTAAAAGGTCCTTTTAAAGTGTCTCCTATATGAAATGGCATCTGATAATGACAGTCATGTACGTTAGGTTTTAACAGGTATGCACAGTTTGTTATCATATTGTGGGCATGGGGACTTGCTTGAGCTTGTCAATTTAATACCATGATGGTGTATGATATTTGTGAAAGAACACAAAGTTTGATTAGTGCTCCAAGATAACTAGTAAGTTTGCAAGTATTGGTTAAACTTGACCTTAATTATTTTGTCATATATATATATGTAATTTAATAATTAATGATATTGGTCTTTGTGTTGCCTACTAAGCTTTTTTTTTGTTGAAAAAATATGCAAAGTGGCCTGTGCAATAAGTGTAAGCAAGAATTAGAAGAGAATCGTCTTTATTTATACAATAATGTGAAAAGTAATAGTTTTCATTAAGAAGAATGAAAATCTGAGAGAAACGCACTTGAGTGAGATTTGAATGAAAGGGTTTTTTTTTTTTCATATGGTCCACTTGGGTTCACTCACTGCTGTATGAAACTATTATGTTCTTATTTTTATTTTAAAGCTGTGAGACGTATTTCATATTGCGTTTGCAAATTCCCAATGATTTGGAACTTAAAATTTGCTTTTTATTTATTTATTTATTTTAAAAAAAATAAAAAATTCCATATAATGAGAACATTCCCATTTCAAACTGTTTGGTTCTGGGGGGAAAAAGTATTTCTGCAAATCAAAATGATTACGATTGCCAAAAGAAGATGGCCTCCCAAAGAGCTCAAAGTTGTAGTTTTGCGTACCTCCTCCCAGCTGCTGCTGATTTGAGTACTAGACATATTGTTTCTTCGGACATGCAAGTGCCTTACCTGTTGCCATTTGCAATCAGTTGTCTAATGGTTCTTTGGTAAAACCCGCTCTTTGTTTCGCAGAGGTTTTGTCTCCACCTGTTTGCGGTCTTTATAGAGCAAAGTTTATTTTGAAAAAAAAATTCATATTTTGAGGCTTACTCAAGTCTGTTTGTCTTTTCATTTTGATACTACATTTCATATTTGAATAGAGGAGACCAAAGTCATTTATTTATTGGCATGTTTTGGCATGTTTGAACACACTAAGCTAACAATAAAACCAACTCGAGAAACTGGAAGATTGCCTTCAGCCCTAACTAAACAGCTCTTAAAAGTGACTTGGAACATACATCATCTATACACTGTACTTCATTTTGACCATTTTAAGTTGTGCTGCACTTTGTTTTATAATGTAATGTACAGTTAATTATAAAAATAAATTGTTTATTGTCTGCATCAGAAATGGACCAGTATTGAATTTTTTTTAGCTATGAGGAGCTCGGAGATTGAGAGAGAACTGTTGATGATTATTAAAATAAATGCACCACACATAATAATTCACTTAGTATGAATACATTTTCTACAAAATGAGAGTAAAGTAAGTAACATGTTAACATGTAACAAATGTTAACATGTTGCTTTTCCTGACCTTTGAGCGCCGCACAGAAGGAACTCTTATTGAATTAGGCAAATGTGATTCTGATATCACAAGACCAGACACAGGAGCAGCCCAACGACTCAGGCTGGAGTCAGTTAAACAGACTAAAATAAGTGTTTTTAGTCCAATCCAAAGACGATTCTGCATCACTGGTGAGGATTTTTCTCCTTCTGTAGGAATACATGAACACGGTGAGATTGTCAGCTATATTTGTATTTCATATGCTACATTTGTATTTGCCAGAAATGTGATTTCTGTTGTATTGTATATCTCTCCGGGTAGAAAGCATCTGCTAAAGACATACATATATGTATTTGAATAGAGGAGACCAAAGGCCTGTGCAATAAGTGTAAGCAAGAATTAGTCAGTAAAATGTGTAAATGTATTGGTGAATTAGTTGTCTGGAAGATATTTACTTTAAAAGTTACCTTGAAAAAATATTTACACCTTGTTGGACTGCATTCAGTTCAGATTATTTTGCATACAGTATGCAATTCCAAGTGTCTTATAGCTCAAATACAACCAGTGGGGCAACCAATTTAACATAGTTTTGCATCTGCTTTCAAAAGTCACAAGAAACAAATGAACTATTACAGTACGGAAATTGTGTGCGTTGTTAATTCGAGCATTCAACTTTGTGCTCAACCTGCAAATTCATTCACAAACTCTTTTGAGTAGGGCAATGGGGGAGCTCAACATAGAGATTTACTTTAAAAGTTACCTTGAAAAAATATTTACACCTTGTTGGACTGCATTCAGTTCAGATTATTTTGCATACAGTATGCAATTCCAAGTGTCTTATAGCTCAAATACAACCAGTGGGACAACCAATTTAACATAGTTTTGCATCTGCTTTCAAAAGTCACGAGAAACAAATGAACTATTACAGTACGGAAATTGTGTGCGTTGTTAATTCGAGCATTCAACTTTGTGCTCAACCTGCAAATTCATTCACAAACTCTTTTGAGTAGGGCAATGGGGGAGCTCAACATAGAGAATCTGGTTTTATGGATGGCCCTTCTCCGCTGCAAGCTGAGGCCATCGACCTCAAAATAACCTACTAGATTTACTGCACAGGGCCTGTGCAATGACATAAGCATAATATAAGCTCGCCATTCATCCAGCAGCCCAACCAGTTGGGTTTAACTCTACAGCTGACATTCTCAGACAGAGTAAAGAGTCAACACAGCGCACTGGACCCTTAAAATATCCCATCATGCTGAGAGGCACAAATGAGATGACATTTACTGATAATGTAGAGCCATTTTCATTCATGTTTACACAGACAGACCCACATTCACAAGCTGTGTCATGCACCTCAAAATACGCTAATGACTAGTCTACATAATATAGGCCTTCTTGAAGGCATGAACTCATCCTCATTCTCCTTATTTGACTTTTTATGTTTAAGTAAAACATTGTGCTTTTTTAGTTTAGACAGCAGCACGAGGGCAGAGGACAAAGGACATGCTTACACCTTATCATATGCTTATATTTGGGAGGCTATTTTAGACTATTCTTCCCATGAGACACATTGTGACACTAGAGTCAGCTGAGCATGGTTTGCTGCTTGCTTTCAAACCACTGTGCAATGGACGTTTCAGAAGGTCACTGATAAAGCCATGACCCTTATAGCCAGCGGTCACAGAGTTCATATGACACTGCGATGGAAACGGATCGGTAGATGTATCTATTTTATGGCAACAGGTCACTTTCTGAAAAAATGTTTTGCGTTTAGTATATATCAAAGTCAGAAGAATTAAATTATAAACAATAAATAAATGAGAAGTGATTACTAAATAAAAGATAATTCATAAATAATACATTGTTACTAAAAAATAAATCAGTAGATCTAAACGCCTGTGCTGCTGGTTCGTAAGCTGGTCTGTAAATCAATCCACATATTTTTATGGAAATTTTAGTATATACATGTATGTATGTATATACATATAACAGGCATTTTGTAGTAACATTTTACAATATTACTGTTTTTTGATGTATTTTTGATCAAATAAATGCAGCATTAGCATCTTACTGACCCCAAACTTTTGAACTTTTGTCGTATAGATATAGACCTATTGGTATTTTTCTATTGATTGATTTTAAAATACACATTTATAATTTTAATTACATTTTAATGTACTAAAATACATGAACTAAATTTCCAGCTTGGATAGAAACATAGCCACAGAGGCCAGGAGGTCTAGAGTGTTGTTGTCAAGAGCCGTAGGATATGTTTGGAGTCTGTGGGTTTTCCCCTTTCATGTCTAATGTGACCTTCGCACCTGGTAACTGAGCTACTCTGCCAGTTGTCCGGTTCCCATTTTGGTTCTGTGACTCAGTAGCCATATTGAGAGTCATTTAATTTTAGGCATTGCAACATTCCAGTCAGAAGTGATGTGAGAGGAACAAGAGAGAGCTTGAAATGGGCAGTGGCTCATTATAGATAAAGATATACTGTCTGTTCATAAACTCATGGGTGGGGATATGTGTTCTTCACAGGGGTGATGGGACAGAAACAGGACAAGGAGCTAGAAAAAGAAGACGTCCTGACCGGTGCCGTTAGTGACTATGAGATCTTAAACCAAAGCGAGGAGGAAGCACATTCCAACAGCCCAGAAGAAATAGACCAGAATTTTGTTCACTTGGACACCTCCATATTAGAGCCCTGTCCCGATCAGGAACCAACAATACCTACTGACAACACCACTGAGCCCTCTTTCAACCAGGGAGGAAAAAAGATCAGACAGAGTTACGACACGGATGTTTCGCAGAATGGCAGGACACCAAATCCTCAGCTGAGCCTGGCAGGAGGTCCATGTGCCTCAGAATTCAAAACAGTCACAAGCGACGCAACCTCCACAGACATATTTACTGCTGTAGACCAGCAACGACCTGACAAAACAGTCGGAATGACTAACAAAACTCACCTCAAGGATACTCCAAACATGTTAGAAGGTTTCTGTCAAGTGGACTCAGCAGATGATGGCGTGAGCATTGAGAAGAATGAGACACGGACGCTCTCTGACAGACACAACGGGATGACAAAGATGAGTGGTGATGTCGAAATAAAGAGGACATTTTCTTTGGAAGCAGAGAATGCTGATTTACTTGAAAGACAGCCATTCCAGGACAAAGATAAACATGAAATGCAAACCCTAAGTAGTGACAAAATTAGGAGAGGTTGTGACAAAGTTTGCAAAGAAAGTGCTGGAACTGTTCGACACAAAGAAAGTCCTGATGAGGACAGATTTGAGTATTTGGACAGAGCCGATTCTTTATGTCCAGAGACTGTGACAACACGTCCATCATTCCCTGGGCTCCACTCGAATTCAAGTCGTCCATGGCTTCAAAGTGCCAATAAGCAGGATAGTTTACAGGGAGACAAAAATATCAGAAGAGGTTTGTCAAGAAGTGTTTTACAAGAACCCAACGATGCCTCACAGACACCCAAAGCAACAAACTTCAGAAACGACCAAAGAACTTTCCGTACACCATTGCTGAGAAAAGAAGAGACCGAAATGGGTGAAACTGAAGGTAAGGACAAAATCTTGCATACTCCCTTTGATAAACCTTGTCTATTAAGATCTACAGTGACAACATTTGACTCTTTCGACTGTGACACCGTTACTGAATCCACAAATCCAGACACAGCTCTAGTCCCGTTGAGAATTGAGGAGAACTTTGAACAAAAGGTATTAAGCACATTTCGTCCAGATTTAAGCCAAAGCAATACTTTGTTTCACAGTGAGAAGCAAAATGATGACAAAGGGGCGTTCACTGTCATGGAAAAACACTCGACAGTCATGTCATCTGAGAGTTTAACTGAATCCAGTGCTAAAAACGTCCCTGTTAGCAATGCGCCTCACCCAGCCAAAAAGGGAGTGTGGGGAGCAGAAGCACCACGTGTGAAAAGAGACACTGAATCTGTTTATCAAAAAGCTGTTCGGTCGAGATCCACAGAAAGCAGGAAAGACTGTGATGGTCATCTTAATGGAAGGCATAATACTTCTTTACTTGAATTAGCAGGGGGAAATGGTCAAATTCAGGGCAAAAGAGTCTGTAATCCAAAGATCTACAAGCTGGATGACATGAACACAGAAACAGAGGCCAAAGAGAATTCTTCCAGTGGTAAATGTTTAGATCAAATGATCATAAATCATTTCCATTCTTTTTCTCACTCAGATTTTGATGCAGGTGACGCCGAAAGAGTCGCACAGACAGCTTCTTTGCAACAGGAAAAAGAGCCTCTCTATTTCACAGCTGAGATCACACCACCACTTCAGATTCATGCATTTCCTGATCAGGAGGCGAGGAAGTCATCTGACGTCTCTCATTTGTACGTTCCTCACGCTGAAAAACAGAGCATGATCCCTGACATCCTACCCACAGATGCCAAAATCAAAGGACCACCACCACCTGTTCCAAAGAAACCAAAGAATCCCTTTAAAAAAGCCGTTGGCCGCAAGGAATCTGCTTGTCATTCCACAGAGGAGCCAAGCAAATATTTGGACCTACTGCTCAGAAATATTCAAATGGACAGAAGGCAGGCAGCACTGCAGTCCGCTGAGGATTTTAATATGCATGCATCATGTCTTGATATGTCACCTTATTATATTGAGTCCCCATTCTACATGTGCATGTCCTTAGAGCCTGAGGCTGCTGATATTCCAAAATATGATTTAGTCCCGTATGATGAAACTGTTGCACCTGACTGCGATAACTTGATAGAAACTGTCGATGATAAAGAACTAAAAGAAATGGATATGTCTCAGCTGAGACCTTTGTTGAAAAAAAAAGCAAAAATTAAGGGCCCACCACCACCTGTGCCGAAGAAGCCTCAAAATCCATTTGCTAAAACAGACACTGAGAAGAACCAAGCAAGCAAAGACTCTGATCTGGAAAATGTGGAACAGCCTTTGAAATATGGTAGACGTGACTCTGAATGCTACGTGATGGACATGGAGGATGAAGAAGACTCTAAACCCACCACAGTCCCAACTAGATATCCTTACGCCGCCTGTCGAATTCCAAGCAGTGATTCTTCTGCTTTAGAGGAAAACGAGCTGTCTAGATACAGGCCCGTCTCTGAACTCATCAGAGACAGCAACAAAATCCAGGAGAAAGTGATACATCACAGCAGGACAAACATAATGAAAGCCAGGCCAGATGTGACTGTGGGAAGCCAGAGTCTAAAAGTATCGCAGATGAAGACAGCCTTTGATGCACAAACATCTTCCCATAAAATGGAAAGAAGATCCTCGCCAAAGAAAGGTAAAACAGGTTTTCAAGCTGATTGCATTCCTAGTTTTCATACTGTATACAACTGATAGGGTTATAAAGAATCTTGAAGAATGAGACACAGTGGGTTCCAGTACATAAAAATAAAAAATTTATTTATATACATTAAGATTTTACTTAATATCAGAACACTAATAGAGTTAATAATAGTGTTATGACATTACTTAAACATGTTTACTGCAATAATTTACCTCATTTAGTTTGATTATCTTTTGTAAATATGGGTAAGAAATCATAAGATTAATCATAATTATTTTATGAAATTGGCAGCCATATTATTTAAAAGAAAAAAAATTAAAAACAACACTGTTTTATGAAATAAAAATGTTAATCCTTTCTTTCTAACTGTCAAGAAAATTGGTGTATCTTTTTGTGGACTTTCACTTTGACACTGTTGCTTTTAGCTCGCTCACTTTTATTCACTGATGCTGCTTTGAAATAGTATAGCTAAGTTTATTTATAGTGAAAACCACTATAATATATATATATATATATATATATATATATATATATATATATATATATATTGTCCCTGGTGTCCTTAGACAGCTCTTTCGTCTTGCCAATAGTGGAGAGGTTGGAGTCTGATTGATTGAGTGTGTGGACTGGTGTCTTTTATACAGGTAACAAGTTCAAACAGGTGCAATTAATACAGGTAATGAGTGGAGGATAGGAGGGCTTCTTAAAGACAAACTAACAGGTCTGTGAGAGCCAGAATTCTTGCTGGTTGGTAGGTGATCAAATACTTATTTCATGCAATAAAATGGAAATTAATTATTTAAAAATCATACAATGTGATTTTCTGGATTTTTTTTTTGGATTCTGTCTCTCACAGTTGAGGTGTACCTACGATGAAAATTACAGATCTCTCCATTCTTTGTAAGTGGGAAAACTTGAAAAATTGGCAGTGTCTTAAATACTTATTAGCCCCACTGTATATATATATATATATGTATATTAATAATTTGTTTTAGTGCAATATAAAAGCCAATTGTTTAATTTTGTAAACAATATCTTGTGTTTATATTATGTCATATTTTTCTCACGTTATAAATTTCTCCTTATACATGAAAAGCCTATAGCTGTCCTTATATTTTACAAAGGAGGTGCCTCAGATCATAATATCTGGGGTCGTCGATGTCACAAAGTTTGAAAATCCCTACACCACACTGAAACAGAAAAATAAAGACTCCAAATTAGATTTTAGGGCTCATTGCACTTTGTAACATAATCCAACATGAGCATGACTTCATTCTTTTTCACTCTTAAAGGGGTCATATGATGCTTTTTTAAAGATCATTATTTTGTGTATTTGGTGTAACAGAATATGTTGACATGCTTTAATGTTCAAAAAACACATTATCAGCAAATACTACTAATAACAAAACAGTAGCTGATTCAGAAGCGCCAGATTGTCATAGCAAAGTCAGAATTACCTCCTCTCCTAGGTTCACGAAACGGTCATCCATAAAATGCATTGCTGTTCTGTTGCAAGTAATCTTAAAGATTCCTAAATCAATCTACTTCCGGAAGGCCAAATAAAGTGCTTTTGCTTTTGCCTAGAAACACACAGCGTCTCCCTGACATGGCTGCTTCAATACTAACTGCGATTACTGAAAACACGCCTTCTTTCTTTGCGTGCATATTTGGGCGGCATTATGCAAATATTTCCACATAGTGAGGTAGATATGTGGGGGCGTGTTAGAATGAGACGTTTTAGGGGGGCGTGGCAGAGTCTTAACTTTGATAAAGAATATCTCTTTGGTTTTGAGACTTTAGTCTTTGCAACTTCGGGGATCTTATCTATGCACAATCAGCTTGTAACACTCCAAAGAGAAAGGAAAACTTGAAATCGCATCATATGACCCCTTTTTAACATAATTACCAGAGTCCTGTAACATTATCAGCTCCGCTGAAGGCAAAGCACAATGAGTTTATATGCACAAGATGGAAAAGCTGCTTGGGATCAAGGTAGTGTTTGCAATGGAGAGATGTTCAGGGGTCTTTCTTTCCATTTATAAATTGACCTTACCAGTTAAACCACAGTGACCTGTCAGTCACTAAGGTACCGTTTGTACCATTACTTCTCATTCACATGGAACTGATGTCCATGAAGGAGGACATGAGGAGGAGGAGAGGGGAGGGGAGAGGAGAACCAGGGCGTTTTCTCCCGTTCATTCAGAATAAAGGAGAGGAGGGAAGCTATTGTGGCTAACCGCAATTCACTGAGACAGTCACCAGCACAACTGAATCTGTGAGAAAATAAATTAATGCTTTGAATTTGACGCTGTGAGAGACGTAGTACTGATAAAGGTAAGCGTTTTGCGTTTGGTCATATTGATGCAAGGCAGGTCAGTGGTGCAATAGCCTCTACTGGAATGCTAGCTCGATTTTAGCAAGCATCACTGATTTAAAACAAGCTCTGGAAACAGCTAGGACATAACCGGGAAAAAAAACTTTGCATTGCTGGTGCATGTGCACTTGCAGGCGTTTCGGCTCATTTAGCGGCATGTGAGACTGCATCCAGCCTTTGATTTTCATGCATACGGCGAGATAAGCAGAAATAGTGAGATATTAATTGAAAGTTGATCATCATGACCTGTGCCGGGTAGATAGCACGCCTCCACTTCAGAGCGGCACGTTGCATTTCGCCAGCGCCTGCAAAGAAAAACACACACGGCTAAAAACAAGCTGCATAACTGATGCTTTTTCTGCTGTTTTCATTCATTTGTTCGGGTTAGCGGTTAGCTCGTTTTCTCACACCAGCAGAAGCCTGCCCATCTATCGATTATGTCATGGTTTTTCATTCTCGCTCTTGCACAATGGGCGAATATCTTATTCTTCTCTTTATCTTTACTCTATATCTTAATTTATCTTTTAGTAGATTGTTAGTGGTGTGTGGGTTTTTCATGATCATCATCATCATCATCAATAACGCAGCTCGGCCATTAGAAAGCAAACACGCACACACACACACACATACCGCCATACATCTGACCTATTTCCAAAAGCACATCCATGACTTTATTGTGATGACTACGTTTTATTCTCACAAACACAGCTGTTTGGAATCGTTTTCGTTTATTATTAGTGTTATTAATGGTGGTAGCTGTTATTTATGAAGACACCGCCATCAATTAGGGCCCTAACAGTTCATCTCAACCAGTGCTTCGGATAATGCACATAGTATAAAGGCGACTCAAATATAACCAGTGATTGTGAATGTATAATTATGAACATCAATTTGTTTTTCAGTGTATTATACCCTTTATAACACTGGTTAGGAATAAGCACGCTGGCTGTGTCTCAAAATCTGCCTAACTAGATAGCATTTTTTTTGGCATCACACTGTTGATGTTTGCATCATTTTTGGGCATCTTTGGCGTTTGTTGTTTATTAAGAAATGCTGTCTTTTTGGCAGCTCATTAGGTTTTGATCTTTTTGGAATATAATATGTGAATTATATCTTTCTTTTATCCTGGTTAATAAATAAGCAATACAAATTTATATCTGTTCAAGAAAGAGAATGTTTACTTTTATAGGCTACATATATGATGCATGAAATTTGTGCTAAAATATGTGACCCTGGACCACAAAACCAGTCAAAAGCGGCACTGGTATATTAGCCAACAATACATTGTATGGGTCAAAATGATCGATTTTTCTTTTATGCCAAAAATCATTAGGATATTAAGTAAGACCATGTTCCATGAAGATATTTAGTAAACTTCCCACCGTAAATATATCAAAACTTAATTTTTGATTAGTAATATGCATAGCTAAGAACTTCATTTGGACAACTTTAAAGGCGATTTTCTCAATATTTAGATTTTTTTGCACCCTCAGATTCCAAATTTTTAAATAGTTGTATCTCAGTCAAATATTGTAATATCCTAACAAACCATACATCAATGGAAAGCTTATTTATTCAGCTTTGATGTATTAATCAATTTACAACAATTTTAAAAAATGTACCCTTATGACTGGTTTTGTGGTCCAGGGTCAGATATGTGCTTCAACAAAAGTACTTTAAAAGAACTAATAAAAAGAAATAGTTTTTTAATCAAATAAAGGGTATCAAATATAGGTCACTTTAATTACTTATTACTGTAATGAATTACTTAATACTTATTTAGTCATTTAAATATGCAGTCATTAGAGCATGGTTTTCTCATATGAAGATGAATGTTTCTAAACAGTGGCTCAATGAAATTCACACACAAAACTGCATTTGACTTCTCCCCTTGTCTTTTATGGAGAAATGCATATACAGGGTGAAATGGAAAACCGATTCCCAGTGCTCTCTAGCTGACCGCTCATCTTACCCTAATATGATACACTGTCAATATTAAGTCTGAAAGCAAAAGAAAAACATTGAACATCTGCCATTAAGAATGTGTTATACTGCAAAATAGAACTGTCAGGTATTTAAATATGAAATAAATAGTGAAATTGTAAATAAAATTTAAAAAAATCATTACAACAAGCAAGACCACAACATTTCTCTTCTCTTGTGTTTTCAGAAATGATCAGACGAGTGGTACGACAGAGTAAATTCCGTCATGTGTTTGGTCAGGCGGTGAAGAATGACCAGTGCTATGATGATATTAGGGTTTCGCGGGTTACCTGGGACAGTGCCTTTTGTGCAGTAAATCCCAAATTTGTTGCTATTATTGTGGAGGCTAGTGGGGGTGGAGCTTTCCTCGTTCTGCCTCTGCTAAAGGTAAGGGATAACTGCATATATGCTCACTCAGCATTTATGCTGTTAGTAATTTGAATAAGGGTAGCTGGTCAGAATTATGCAAGATGAGACATAAATCTATGCTATCTGTTTCCTGTTTGCAGACGGGTCGTATTGACAAGGCCTACCCCACTGTTTGTGGTCACACGGGCCCTGTGCTGGACATCGACTGGTGCCCACACAATGATCACGTCATTGCCAGCGGCTCTGAAGATTGTACAGTAATGGTGCGTTCAGCTCCTTCACTACATCCTCTAATAAAAATCCTGCTTTGAGTGATTATTATAAAAATGTTTGCATTTTTGTCACGCAGGTGTGGCAGATCCCTGAGAACGGCCTCACCGCACCTCTTTCTGAGCCAGTCGTGGTGTTAGAGGGTCACTCCAAGAGGGTGGGCATCGTGACGTGGCATCCAACAGCCCGCAATGTTCTGCTAAGTGCAGGTAAGAGATTTTAAAAGCGAGTGCACTACATAAAAACCCTACCTTTTATCATCTTAAAGTGGTCATAGGATGCTACATGCACTTTTACAAGTTGTTTGAACTGAAATGTGTGTTGGTAGTGTGTGTACACAACCACCCTATAATGATAAAAATCCACCCAGTGGTTTTTAAAATCTTTTTTTAATCTGGTTAAATGTTTTCCCCTTTCTCAAATCGAGCCGATCTCAGATGCCTGTCTGTGTGATGTCACACAGACAGGCCCCTCCCACGATAGTTTGATTGACAGTAACGTTTCAGCACAGACTGGACTGGTGTCTTACCTTAGCTCCGCCCTGAGTGAGCTGTCATCAGTCCGCCATTGTTTCACCGCTGGAGCAGATGTAGACAAGAATTACTCCTAAGCGATTGAGGTGTTCTGTTGTTGGATGTAATAATGAACATAGCAGTCGTCATTTACTCCCGACATCTGAGCCGCTGAACTAGCAGTGGATTACATTGTTTCTGAAGGGAATGCGCCCCCGATCTACATAAATGCATCTATATTCACGCGAATCAATCATGATCCAGCCTCATCTACAGAAGAAGTGAGTATAATGCTTTGTAATGAATCTTTGCAAATCGCCTTTCCTAATAATGTGCTATTTAGCAAGTTTCACGATGAATGCGGCTGAAGTAAACAGTATCTCTGAGAGCAGCTCGGAAGAGAGGGGCGGGGTCAGCAGAGCTCATTAACATTTAAAGGAAAATACTACAAAAACGGCTTGATCTGAAAAGAGACATTTTTGACAGGGTAAAAAATTTGTTTTTTACACTACCATTGAGAAATTTTAACCAAACTATGTTACAGACTTTTCATTAAGACCCTAAGCAAAAAATGGGCATCCTATGACCCCTTTAAACATCAAAAACATGTTATGTTGCATGACTGAATGATCAAAAACCAATTTTGTCTTTCCTCCTCTGTCAGGATGCGATAATCTCATCATCATTTGGAACGTGGGCACAGGAGAAGCTCTGATCAACCTGGAGGACATGCATCCTGACGTGATCTTCAGCGTCTGCTGGAGTCGCAACGGCAGCCTCATTTGCACCGCATGCAAGGATAAGAAAGTGCGCGTTGTCGATCCACGCAAGGGAAAGATCATTGCGGTAAGCGAAAACATCTCGGAATTACATTGAAGACTCTTTATTTCCACAGTTCTTTGTGTCTCACTGGCATTGATGATCACAGGAGAAGGATAAGGCCCACGAGGGGGCACGGCCCATGAGAGCCATCTTTCTGGCTGATGGAAACATCTTCACCACCGGTTTCAGTCGTATGAGTGAGCGGCAGCTAGCCTTATGGAATCCAGTAAGGCAAAATAAATACATTTCCATGTTTTTGAAAAATTACGTTCTTTCATTAAATATTATGATGTTCCTCTCTTTAAGAAAAACATGGAGGATCCGATATCAGTGCATGAAATGGACACCAGCAATGGAGTGTTGCTTCCATTCTATGACCCTGACACTAATGTGGTCTACCTGTGTGGAAAGGTGAGCAAGTTTTTATGTGACCCAGAAAGCATGAGTTCAGCAATATTATATTAATAATTAATGCTGTGCATCTTCATTTTTGTGTTTTTAGCATTTATGTTTATGTAAAGAAATTTGAATAATTTGGGGCCCCCCTAGAAATTGAGAACCACTGGCTTTGCCTCAACAGTGTGATGTCATACTGTATATATTGTGTATATATAGTATGTATATTTTAATACAACTGTAATCTTGTTTTCTGTTTAAGGGTGACAGCAGTATCCGTTACTTCGAGATCACAGACGAGGCACCGTATGTGCACTACCTCAACACGTTTTCCAGCAAGGAGCCCCAAAGAGGCATGGGCTACATGCCTAAAAGAGGCCTAGATGTCAACAAGTGTGAGATAGCCAGGTATGCACGATTTGCACAGGTATTTATTTTTTTAAGTGTTATTTTTTAAATGAGAAAACAGACACAAGGTTTTCAGCAAGTGTTTGTGGCCTTAGATTCATTCAGATTATCTGAAGTGTTTGAGGGGCTTATGGCCATGTCAGAATCTAGATATTTTCGAGAAACTAAACTGTCTTCAGGCTAGCATTGTTGTGATTATGGCTCTCAGCTAGGTCGAATTTATTTCTCCAGTAGGGGGAGTCATTAGTCTGTCATTGACTATAAAATCTAACGTGATGGCAATGTAGCTTTGGTTTCATGCTGTGGCTCCTAAAGGTCAATGACATGTTATTTTACTAGTAATGATCACTGTAAGGATCATTCATTTAATGATTCATTTTGTCATAAGGGTGTACGTTCTGTGTTTAATCTTTGTCGGAAATGGATATATCTATAATATTTGTATTATATATATATAATTAAATTATTGTTTTCCATTTTTATTTATATTAAAATGTAATCTATTCCTGTGATGGCAAAGCTGAATTTTCAGCATCATTATTCCAGTCACATGATCCTTCAGAAATCATTCTAATATGCTGATTTTGTGCATACATTTACATATAAATGTATTTAAAACAGTTGTTCTGCTTATTATTATTATTATTATCATCAATTTTTTTAGGATCCTTTAATGACTATAAAGTTCAAAAGAACAGCATTTATTTGAAATATATATTTTTTTACTTTTTTATTTTGTAAATGGAAAAAGTCAAAACATTGAATGTGCTTTTTAGATTATGATTGTGCTTATTACCATAACACCAATAACATGTCTGTTGTTTCTCACAGGTTTTATAAACTTCATGAGAGAAAGTGTGAGCCAATCATCATGACTGTTCCTAGAAAGGTACTTTTCACTGTATATTAAAACAATGATTGTTAATAGTAATGTTCAGTTGATAAGTTTGTATTTGTTTTGTGTTTAGCTTTACAAGCAAAGCTCAATCAAAGTGCGATTTAATTGTCATTAACTGATGAAGAAAAGGGAAGGCACTTGGTTTCAATTAACATTAAAGCAGCAGATGTTTTCAAAGAAAACAAACAGCATGAATCCAAAATACTCATTACGGTATTTCCTGTCTCTTGGTTTTTTGGCAGTCAGACCTCTTTCAGGACGACCTCTATCCGGACACAGCAGGTCCAGACCCGGCGCTAGAGGCTGAGGAGTGGTTTGAAGGCAAGAATGGCGAACCGATCCTGATCTCGCTCAAACACGGTTATGTTCCGGGCAAGAACCGCGACCTCAAAGTAGTCAAGAAAAATGTGCTGGATAACAAGGCACCCAAGAAGGTGGAGGAGCCAGCAACTCCCCAGAAACCTGCCTCTCCTCAGCTAACCAAAGTAAGGATGATGCTTCATTGACTCCTTCTTATTTTTCCCACTAATAATTGGCCTAAAACATTTTTCTATTTCTTTATTCTGCTTTGCAGAAGAACGAAGTGAAGTTAGAGGAGCTGCTGCGAGAAGTCAAGTCCCTTAGAGATCTGGTCACGCTGCAGGACAGGAGAATCGCCAAACTGGAAGATCAAGTGGCTAAAGTGGCAATCTAAGACACTGGTGGTGGTCTGAGCCATAGCGTCAGTATGGAGAGAGAGAGAGAGAGAGAGAGATTCAGTTGGGCGGGGGGGTCAGTCACTGCCAAAATTTCTCAATTTGACTCGATCATTCCGCTTGGTGTTTCTCTTATACAACATTTTATGTTTTATAGCCTACATTAACATAATCAGTATACATCATGAATAAACATAAGCAATTAACTAGTACAATTACTTACGATTAATAAAAGCTGTAAAAATGGTTGTTTATTGTTAGTTCATTATAGGTAAATTAACTAATGGTAATGAACTGAACCTTATTGTAAAGTGTTTCCATTTTTTCCTTCATCAAAAGTAATTTTATGTTAATAATTGTAAGAAATATCTACACAAAAACTGGAACTTGTTGAGTTGAGCACGTTTATTCAGCTTATTTTGATGCTATACAAAAACTGAAACTTTAATGCTCATGAAACCTCAAAGAATGAGTGCACATGTAGGGACTGATGTTCGGCTACAGTTGCTCAGAACATAATGTAGAACTGATTCTGGCTTAGAATCCAATGAGGTTTCCATGTGGTGCTTCGAATTTTGATTGTACCACAGGAAAGACATAAAGACAACTGCAGTGAATGAGTGTCATGAAGTAAGAACATACCAAAGTCATTGAAGTTTAAGTTACTGGGTCCAAGTCAAAAACATTTCAGCTAATAAAAAATACATTATAAGAACAAGTTATGAAAATGTATGTTATTTCCAAATGTTCTCTGAATGTTCAAAACCCCAATTTTTAAATGTTTAAAAATATTTATTTTTATTGATTATACAAACTCAAAGTGTTATTGGAAAGTTTAATGTTCTTATTTTATACCAGATAACTTAAAAGGTAACTAAAATGCCTTTTTAATAGTGCTGTCAAATGATTAATCACGATTAATCGCATCCAAAATAAAAGTTTTTTGTTTGTATATCGAGGGGTGAGAACCAGAAGGGCATAAAGTGACATTTTGGGTGAAACGGAGATACATATATATCAAATGAAATCATATGACGTTGTTAAAAAGAACATTATTTTGTGTATTTGCTGTAATGCAATGTGTTAATGCGGTTTAAGGTAAAAAAAAAAACACATTATTTTCCACATACTGTACATTATTGTTGCTACTCTATGCCCCGCCTTTCTGAAACACATCGATTTTTTACAAAGCTCATCGGTCTGAAAAGCGAGGTGTACGCTGGTTGGCCAGCTATCCAGTGCATGGTGATTGGCCGAATACCTCAAGCGTGTGACGGAAATGTTACGCCCCTTACCATACTGTGATGCCGTGTCCCGGCACGATGAGACAACACCAATATAACCCATCACAAACGAGGCATTTGTTGCATCCAGTGGGGACATATTTACTGATTATAATGACTTGTACTGTCTTTTTACACGTTGCATCGTGCCGTGTAAACATAAAACCATGTCTGCATTTGTGATCGGAGAAACGACAAACAAGCGCTACTCTACACTGCTCAAAACTCACGTTTGAATCATCAGTGGCAAATTCTTTAAATATGAAAACGTACTTACAGGCTGTGAGTTAGAAGCGCCAGACTGTCCTTGCAAAGTTGGAACTACCCCACTTTATAGAAATGGCCTTTGTGCACAGACGGTGTAGGCTACTATCCCCTATAAAATGCGGTGCACACATCTGAATATTTGGGTTGAACTGTTCTGGAACAGTGTTATAAATACAACTTAACCACTGATTTCTAGTCGTGTCCTCTTTTGGAAGGCCAAACAAAGTAGTTTCTCTTTCACAACGAAACACACTGCGTCTTCACGACATGGCGGCAGCGTCAACAATACTACAGCAAGAATCAAAGTTACGCCTTCTTTCTTTGCATGAACATTTGGGCGGCGTTATGCAAATCTTCCTACACACTTCCCAGACATGTGGGGGCGTGTTTAAATGAGGCGTTTTAGGGGGGCGTGGACGAGTCTTAACTTTTATAAAGAATATCTCTTTAGGTTTGAGACTTTAGTCTTTGCAACTTTAGGGATCTTATCTATGCACGAACAGCTTGTAACACCCAAAGAGAAAGGAAAACTTAAAATTGCATCATATGACCCCTTTAATGAGCTCTTTCTACTACCAAAAGGACAAAAGTGAATTCTTAACAATTTTGGAGTTATTCATTAGAAATCAAAAGACTTAACTCTGAACATACTAAGCCAGTTGGTGCCAAAACTGCACTTATGCCCCTTTGGCACTTAGAAATGTACTGTGGGTAAAGCTTGTGGATAGCACTTGAGTCAAAATGGCTGACACCACATGTAAGCCAGGTAGATCAACAATGAGAAGAAAACTGTTTTTTACTGCTGAAGATGTATTATTAATCTTATTTTGTGACTTCAACACTACTTTCTTACAATTAAAGTGCATTGAGTACAAAATTAGTTGTTCCAATTTAGCAGACTTTAAGTATACCAGTTTAGTGATATGTGAATATTATGTAAATGTATTTGTAGTATGAAATAAATGCATTTCAAACTAATTTTTTGTAAATTTATTTTTCACTAGGGAAGGTATCTGTAAAGGCTTTTCAATCGACCATTTGGCCAAATTGTTAAGTGGCTGAGATTATTATTTCAGTAGAATTAACCACATTCAATTAACTAATTTGATGTAAGGGTTTTATAAGTTTTTTCTGTGATATTTAATTTTATTACAATGGATTGTTATTTCATTAACTAATTAATGTAATGTTTTGTTCATATTGTCAGCAGATGCGCCCGTGTTTTTATACACAAATTTAATAAAACATTGGTGCCAAAAAAGGCGCAAGTGACTTTTTAATTTTTTTTTTCCTGAATAAATGTTAAAATTGTGTTCAATAAGTATCCTGTCATCCATGTGTGTACACATTTTTAGTATAAAAGATTGAAATCAGTAAACAAAATCAGATCAAACTATGGTAAATTTGTGTTTTGGCCCTCCTGTAAAGTTGGTGAAATGTCACTTACGCCCTTCTGGTTCTCAGCCCTCGATATGTATGTGTACATTTATTGTATATATATATATATATATATAGATACAAACACATGCATGTATATATTTTGAAAATATTTGCATGTATATACTTATATATAAATATATAAACATTAAATTTTTCTTAAATATATACATGCATGTGTTTGCATTTATCTATACACATAAATATACACAGTATACACACATATTTTGTATGCAATTAATCGTTTGACAGCACTACTTTTTAACCACCTCAGGTATTCAGTCATAGGATGGACCACTCAGCTCTCCACCGCCTCATCTGCCTGTCCGTCATTCTGCTAACCAGGCTCGCTACTCATGCCACCCCAGTCATTTTCAATGACTCTTTGGAGGGCAGTGGACAGTGGGACTCTGGGAGCACAGACCTGACCCACACACCCACGATGTCCTTCTTCAATGAATCAGTGAAGTCCACCTCCATAGATGGAGAAAAACATAGCAAATCATTCTTGGATCAGCTGGTGGATTTCTTACAAGAGAACCACCTTCCCATAATCGTCATTACCACATTAGTTTTTCTTATCATCACCATCCTCTGCTCAGCTGCCATCTTGAGTCGCCGACTTAAAGTCAGCACCTACTATCCTTGCGCTTTCCCTTCCAAGATGTACGTGGATGAACGAGACAAGACCGGAGGAACACGCTTCTTCAGCGAAGTCCCAGAGAAAGCCAACACCAGCTCCAGTGAGGAGCCAGTGAATTCAGCCAGGCAGCTCCACGAGGACATCATGCTGGCTACCAAGAACCTCCGAACGCCAATCAAGACCCCATGGAAGGAGAAGAATGAAGTGGCGGAATACCAAAAACATGCAGATGATGAGGGAAGTGCTCAGTGCGACAAAAGTCAAGAGGAGAGCTGTGGCTCACTAGAGGACAAGACCACAAATCAGTTTGCTGTTGAGGATACTGTGGAAAAGAGCTGCCCCAGCAGGTCCCAGGACAGTATCCCCGCTTATGACATGGAAAAGACTGACCCCTTGGACTCCGGGCCCCCTGAAGAGAGCAAACATTCATCTGGGCCAGAGAATTCAGAGATCCATGAGGACACGAACAAACAGGATGTTGCTACTTCAGGCTCACCATTTATCAGTGAAGAGAAAACGGCATTTTAGCTTGGACATTTTTAAAGCCTTAAAGGAAACACTTAGACACAAATACAGACCAAAGTGCATTTCTTGCACACATTGTAAAACTAAAAAAAAAAAAAAAAAAATTTTGTATTATGAAGTTTCATTGAGATAGTTCATGAAAAATATATGGCTTTAATATTGTTTGTAACTCTTCGATTTTCCAAATATAAAATGTAATAATCTGTTTTAAGTTCCTTAAGAGTAAATGATATGAACGGACGCCTATCGGGCAAGACATAAAATCTGCTTTTTAAATGTTGGTTGTCATGAATTTCTTTTCATTTGACATGATGACTCTTTAACCCTAAATCAGAAATGATCTTTATTCTTGTTTGCTTTACTCTCTATTATTAGCGATGACATCCATAAAAACTGGAAAGGTTAGGGTCAGGGAAGTAGATTGCGTGAATGGCTCGCAATGCACTATAAACACACGCATCCACAAAATAAAACAAGCACACTCACGACTCCAATTAAGGAGACAAGTCTAAGTGTAGAAAAGCTTTGCAGTGAGTCAGCTTATTGTTTACATATTCTGGCTCGAAGCATTTCCTTTCAAGGTCGAGAGGTATTCAGCCACAGCAAGTCCCATGCCACCTTTCAAACAGTTTAGTCTAAGATCAGTTAGTCTCAACACATACTTTATGAAGAACACAATATTCTTAATAAACTTACTACAACATTTGACCACATTTCATACTTCATTACTTGAATGTTCAAGACAATCTGCCATCTACAATTTCTAAAAAACAAAAAATGTTTAATTTTTTTTAATTAACAAAAAAATAACTCCACCGATAGTTTGCTTCAGATCTACTGAGGCTGCAGATCTGTTGGTATGTTACTTATAGCATAACAGTTCATGAAACAAACCTCACGTTGAGATGTATAATCACATTTTCAAATGAAAACCATATACTAGCTATGCTGAAACCAGGTACAATGCAAAATCAGTTCATCACTGTAAATTAGCATCATATTTCTAGATTCCACGGGTATGCAATATTAATTCCAATGCCCACATGATTGAGGTTTACTCATGCTTTATTTAAAAGTACTGATGTTTGAAAGGCCATCGAATGAAAGCCCAGCAGCATAAATCACCATCGTAAATCACATCTTTGTTCTTTCAAACTAAAATAATAGAATAAGATCATTTGTGTGCGTGTTCAGCTAGCAAGTGAAACCACTGACACTCTTTTTCATTACATCAACAGATCTAAATAAATGGCTTAGACTGTAACAGTGTGGGTCAGTACTTTTATATTGTGCATTTAAAAGACTCGCTACAGTGCAAGAGTTGGAGAGCTTTGGTCTAAACTCAAAGGGAGGACAAAGAGCATTGATTCTCAACTGGTTTTGTTTCAAGACCCTGATTTTAAATTGGATATCAAATGGTGATCCAACCTCAAACACTGAGATTCATTACAATTACCATGAACTGTGCAGACTCAACAGTATGCAAAATCAATAACATTGCACAGTGGAAGAAAATAAATGCGTTATTCTCTTCCAAGACAATAAGCCAGTTTTTTGGCTTATTTTAACTTTGCATGTTTATACGGTTAGTTGGATTTTAATACTGGAATTTAGCACTAGGGCTGGGTTTTGACACAAATTTCACGATTCGATTCGATTCTCATTCACACGCTTGCGATGCGATTCGATTACCGATTTGATTCAATATCGATTATTTTGGATATATATCAGGTACAGTACATGCCAAATTTTCTCAAGGAAAAAAAACAAAAAACATCTCTCAACTAATGCTGTACAATATACATGAGTCAGTTGGTACTACATTACTATAATATTGAAGGTTAAAATTGACTGATTTGTTAATTACACTTAATGAAGTTTTTAAAATAAAGTTACAATTACATAATATTTCTACTTCAATTCTACTTAAATATAAACAATGCTGGCTGTCATAACTTGATGGATTTATTCAAACAAATGAAACATTGAAGAACAGTAAAACTTAATGAATATGGAGCATATATTTAGCAAAATGCTCCTCTCTACAGTTTATTTTTCTAGCTGACTGAGTTTATGGTCACTGAATATGTTTTTCTGAGGTAAATGTGACATTGTTTACAAGCCGTTATATTGACGTTTTTACACGGCTGAAACACTGATTGAGCAATTACATGAGACAGGATACGAATTGTAAAGTTGTACCCTTTTCTTTTAACTTGCCTTCGGATGTTTAGTCATGTTTATTTTGTGCTGAAACTGGTATTAATGTGGAGGAGATGATTAGTTCACGTGCGCCTCGCGCTACAGCGATCTGTCACTCCATATTAAACGGCGCTTATTGTTTGAATACTTTAATACAATGGACAGAATTTGAAATCTGAGACTTTGTTTCATATTAGAAGTACCAAAGCACAATGCTTATTGCGATATATTGGATGAGAAGTGCCCTTCAACGTTCCGTCCATTAACTGAAAACAGGCTAGAATAATCGATTCTTGGGATTTAAGAATCGCTATTGTTCCGTAAAAATGAGAATCGATTAATCTCGAGAAATCTATATTTTTTACCCAGCCCTATTTAGCACTGTTATTTCCCTGCTCCCCACGACCCAATCAGAACAGACCTGAAACCCCTTTTGGTCGTGAAGCACCAGTTGAGAACCACTGATTTAGAGCAGCGGTTCCCAAACTGGGGAGCGCGCACATCCCTAGGGGTGCACAGACCGACCAGCAGGGGTGCGCGAGAGAATGCTCTTGATGAGCTGTGTGCATTTTTTGAAGGGGCAAGTGAAAGAGAATTTTACTTGCCCGACCGGACAACTAATCTAATCTAATTAAAACATCGAATTAGGGAAGCACCAATTTCAACGAGAATGATTAGGATTTTATTACACTTGGTGTAAACGGCAATTCATAATGGATAATCAAAGGGTAACAAGGTCACGGCCGTTGAGACTCACATGAGACAATCTCATGGAGAAATAGAAACAAATGAACAACTGCACACAGAAGAAACATAAAAACTAAATGTTTTACCGCAGTATATTTATTACATAAAGCCTAGCCTAATTAATTAACATGACACGTGTTAGAAAGAGCAGTTTTCCCCGAAAATCAGTACGATTGTAAATTCGACATTGATTTTAAACAAGACTTCAAACGAGTAGTTAATATTAAGTGACTTAGGGCATACATTTTAGTACAATAATGTCAATGTGACAGTTTTTGCTCCATTTGTTTAACGAAAATAGTTCCAAACAAACTTGATTCGCATTTTTGAATTAATAATTTGAGTCAATGATTCAGTGGTACATTCATAAAGACAAGCACTTGCTTCATTCTTGAATGAATCAGCCCTCTGAACAAATCATTTGAATGCCTCAATGACTCATTAAGACAGTCAACTTGCTGCCACCTGTTGGCGGTTACTTTCAAATTTAAAAGTAACTTTTTTTTTTACACAACTTTTCATATTTGTAAATAAAAAAACCTGATGTAAAACACCAAGCTCACAGCATTATTTATGCTGTTGTAATTTTTCAGTGTTAATGCATTCATGCTACATTTCAGCTTCATTAAATTGTCTGTGTAAATGCATTCAAATGCCACTTCAGCTGCTTTGGTTTCTCCAGCAGTGGAAAAGTTGGTTTTGTTAATACTGATTTCATTTGATTGGTAACAGCCCTATAGAGTCTTATTATATTAAGTGAAATGAATAATAAAATGTAAGAATTTGATATGAAAGATGATGCATGCATTTAAGTACATGCCAAATTTTCAAGGAAAAAAAAAAAAAAAAACTCTCAACTAATGCTGTACAAAATACATGAGTCAGTTGGTACTACATTACTATAATATTGAAGGTTAAAATTGACTGTTTTGTTAATTACACTTAATGAAGTTTTTAAAATAATAAAGTTACAATTACATAATATTTCTACTTCAATTCTACTTAAATATAAACAATGCTGGCTGTCATAACTTGATGGATTTATTCAAACAAATGAAACATTGAAGAACAGTAAAACTTAATGAATATGGAGCATATATTTAGCAAAATGCTCCTCTCTACAGTTTATTTTTCTAGCTGACTGAGTTTATGGTCACTGAATATGTTTTTCTGAGGTAAATGTGACATTGTTTACAAGCCGTTATATTGACATTTTTACACGGCTGAAACACTGATTGAGCAATTGCATGAGACAGGATACGAATTGTAAAGTTGTACCCTTTTCTTTTAACTTGCCTTCGGATGTTTAGTCATGTTTATTTTGTGCTGAAACTGGTATTAATGTGGAGGAGATGATTAGTTCACGTGCGCCTCGCGCTACAGCGATCTGTCACTCCATATTAAACGGCGCTTATTGTTTGAATACTTTAATACAATGGACAGAATTTGAAATCTGAGACTTTGTTTCATATTAGAAGTACCAAAGCACAATGCTTATTGCGATATATTGGATGGGAAGTGCCCTTCAACGTTCCGTCCATTAACTGAAAACAGGCTAGAATAATCGATTCTTGGGATTTAAGAATCGCTATTGTTCCATAAAAATGAGAATCGATTAATATTGAGAAATCTATATTTTTTACCCAGCCCTATTTAGCACTGTTATTTCCCTGCTCCCCACGACCCAATCAGAACAGACCTGAAACCCCTTTTGGTCGTGAAGCACCAGTTGAGAACCACTGATTTAGAGCAGCGGTTCCCAAACTGGGGAGCGCGCACATCCCTAGGGGTGCACAGACCGACCAGCAGGGGTGCGCGAGAGAATGCTCTTGATGAGCTGTGTGCATTTTTTGAAGGGGCAAGTGAAAGAGAATTTTACTTGCCCGACCGGACAACTAATCTAATCTAATTAAAACATCGAATTAGGGAAGCACCAATTTCAGCGAGAATGATTAGGATTTTATTACACTTGGTGTAAATGGCAATTCATAATGGATAATCAAAGGGTAACAAGGTCACGGCCGTTGAGACTCACATGAGACAATCTCATGGAGAAATAGAAACAAATGAACAACTGCACACAGAAGAAACATAAAAACTAAATGTTTTACCGCAGTATATTTATTACATAAAGCCTAGCCTAATTAATTAACATGACACGTGTTAGAAAGAGCAGTTTTCCCCGAAAATCAGTACGATTGTAAATTCGACATTGATTTTAAACAAGACTTCAAACGAGTAGTTAATATTAAGTGACTTAGGGCATACATTTTAGTACAATAATGTCAATGTGACAGTTTTTGCTCCATTTGTTTAACGAAAATAGTTCCAAACAAACTTGATTCGCATTTTTGAATTAATAATTTGAGTCAATGATTCAGTGGTACATTCATAAAGACAAGCACTTGCTTCATTCTTGAATGAATCAGCCCTCTGAACAAATCATTTGAATGCCTCAATGACTCATTAAGACAGTCAACTTGCTGCCACCTGTTGGCGGTTACTTTCAAATTTAAAAGTAACTTTTTTTTTTACACAACTTTTCATATTTGTAAATAAAAAAACCTGATGTAAAACACCAAGCTCACAGCATTATTTATGCTGTTGTAATTTTTCAGTGTTAATGCATTCATGCTACATTTCAGCTTCATTAAATTGTCTGTGTAAATGCATTCAAATGCCACTTCAGCTGCTTCGGTTTCTCCAGCAGTGGAAAAGTTGGTTTTGTTAATACTGATTTCATTTGATTGGTAACAGCCCTATAGAGTCTTATTATATTAAGTGAAATGAATAATAAAATGTAAGAATTTGATATGAAAGATGATGCATGCATTTAATAAGGTTAGGGGGAAATGCCCTTTTTATAGTAACTTAAGTCATATAAAATTTAATTTTCCAGCAACAAAATTGTGGCCAGTGAAAATTACTAGCCACTCAATTACTATACGAGTGGCTAGTAATTTAGGAAAATCACTAGCCACAGTGGCTGGTGAGCAAAAGAGTTAATGTCAAGCCCTGTATACAGTGAATACTTGTTTGCAGTAAAAAAAATGTGGTGTTTAACCGGAGAACGGTGGTGGGGGTGCTTGACATGTGTCAAACACTAGAAAGGGGTGAACGCTGCAAAAAGTTTGAGAACCACTTATTTAGAGGATCAAGTGCGCCTCCTAGTTGCGGGCCATGGCGGTCTTCTCACCCAGTTCAACTTCCCGTTTCAGACTGTAGTCTGCCAAAGCTGCTTTAATGGCATCCTCAGCCAGCACTACAAAGCACAGAGAACAAGGTCAGTTACAGAACAGGAATATTATAAGTAAAATTTGTATTATGCATATAAATGTTACTTTTATCAACCAGAGCAGCAAATATAATGCAAGTAAATATTACACAAACACAGATAAATCAAATTAAAAGGAACACTTACTTGAGCAGTGTAGTTTGACTGGT